TTAAACTTCAACAACTTCTGACTGGTCATTTGCAAATAAACGCTGGTGAAAACGCTTCTCTCCAGAGCGAAAAGAATATGTTCACCTGATAATTTAGACAGTAAACTAATGTTGCTTGAGAATTGCTTGAAATAAAATGGTTATTCACAAAGTTTTATTGACACATATGGTAAGAATTAGCGTAAGAAACCTGATGAAAACACGATCAGCATGAATCTAGGTTTTATCGAGCTCGTCTTCAAAGGTGATGGTACTATGGGAATTATAAATAAAAGATTAGGCTAAGTCCTGTGCAGAACGTATCCTGCAGCAAAACTAGTCTGTCTAATCTGAACATTTTACTCGTAAGTGCAATCAAAGAGTGACATATGCGACCTCCAGGTGCATATATCTGCGGGAGCAGTTACATTGGAAGAACAGAGAGATGGGTCTACGTCAGGCTCATCGAATTTGGCCAAACAGCTTCCAGTTAAAGGGTTCAGATATTTTAATCTCTTCAATTACCAAACGCCTGATAGGTACCGGACTCCTTAGTAATTCTTGGTCTTCTAACTTCATGAACTTATCTTTTCAACACCCACCTTACATCGTTTCATCTGTTTGACTTCCATAAGAGATAACATTTCTTGAACTTATGATTTCTACTCACCATATTACATCATCACCTTTTCATTTTAACTCTTGCAAACGAAATTTTGCTCTTCCCTTATCTAACTATGTTACTGTAACTGATTTTTTGTTACCACCCCACAACAAACTTCTCTCTAACAAGATATATATTTGTTAGTTACCTTGTCATCCTTGTGTTTTACTTCACCATGACACTTTTACAATGTGCTTGTTGATGACAAAAGTATGTTAAAATGTTTAAATGGCTTTTATTTATTTATTATTATACGTTGTGTGCAGCTGATGAGAACCGACAAAATAAAATGGATGCATACAATTCTACACCAATGTTTGTTCTTCCTTTGCTCAGAATTTTTCATTATCATTTGTGTTTGAGATAATTTTTGTTGTATTCATAATATATGTGCACATGTCTCTCAACAAGCTACATATGCAAATGGCTTTCATTTCATTTTAGAATCCGAGATTGATGACGGTATTTTTGCCCCAATGCATAACGGTATGTTGGTGCATGTGAATACTTATCCTATGCATTTACATCCATGCGCATGACTGGGCATATACCTGAATATCTTTAACTTTTTTCTATATCGTGAATCGGCTGAATTTAGAATTGATTGGTCAGTGAACCGGGTCCAGTGGATAAATGGTTCACAAGCTCGCTTTTTAACTTAAATACCCTGGATTGGAATCCCGATATGAGTGTACTGATAAAGAGTCGCAAACTAGGATAAAACAGATGCCCAGTACTCCCATGTCTTCCAGTGCTTCTCTAATCAATGTCAGCTGAGGACGAAATCCTGAAAAAGTAACTCTGTCGTGGCTATGACTTAATGACTTTAGGGCCAAACTAATGATCTTTTTTGCATAGTATTTACAGTTTATTGGGTGAGATATAGTTTTTTTTCCTTAGAATAATGTATTCAAAATTTTTAAGATAATGTTACAAGTGTACGAAATTCGCCATTCATACTTTTGAAAATCTCAGAGGAGTCTTTAAATTCAGTGAAGCAGTTTATATGTCTACCGGACTGTTAATGTCCAACATCTTCCCTGTGTTTTTGTATTCACCCACTCAGTTTTCTTATTTTTTATCTGATCAGAGACTCCCTCAAAACACTCTACAAATAAGTTTTTGTCAAGTTTAAAGAACTCCTCAAATTCTTTGTCTAATTTTCTCCAGCCTAATGATGCAGAGACACTAAATTGACGATGGATATTTTCGCCTTTAATGTTTTCACAAAATTAATCACAACATTCTAAATTAACTAAAGGAGGCATAAATCTTATTTAGACGTTTTAGAAGTTCAGTATCTAGTCAGTAACAGTAAGTAGTAAAAACAGTCGCTTCCTGTCTACATTCTAACGCTTACTCGCTATATATAAGGCCTCTGTGAACAGGTATGCGAAACCATAGTTCCTATTCTTCCATTTCATTGGGAAAAAATGGAGCTAACATTGTTATAATTGCAATTATATATCAATTTAATTTGTGTTCAACACGAAAAAAATTTAAAGAATTGCTTTTTTTGGAATAACAGTTCAATAATGAATTGAAGATGCCATCAACTGTCGCAAGCAACACAACAACATATCCGTAATCACTTGAATTTGAAGTATGACTTTGACACTGGCCAGTACCTATAAATCAAAATAAACCTTTTACAACAAATGGAAGTGGAAGTTTCTTTTTCAACTGTCAGTTTATTCTTCTGATTCTAAAGTAAAAATGGAAGTAATCTGCGAAAATGATTCTGATGGGTTTACATAGTGGTGAATACATTGAAATGTAGATGTAATTTCATCAACACTATTCTTATTACATGACTGAATGATACCATGTGTACTAGACTATCTCATACTCCTCTTCCTGGTAAATGAATCACTGCATATTAGTGAGAATATCAGTAATGTGACAACTATGTTTTGATCCCACATACTTATTTTTCAAGATATTTTGTTATATTATTCATTCCATTCGGCTGTAAGGCACTCAAGAAGCTGTGTATGTAAAGAACATCTATCTCAGGATTCACCTCAACCTAAATATATTTGCAATCTTTGAAGCAAGTACATACTTTAGACATTTTCATGATTCGTTTGCAAAGCATGGAATTAAATACCTTGATCCTGACATTCAGCCAATCTTAGGTTAATGAAAGTATTTGTTTTACTGTCAATGTTACAGCATTTCCCCAGACATTTGATCTAACAGCCAAAATCAGTTCGATTTTTAGTCGATCACTCACTTGACAAATTTCCTGATACAACTGAACAAATGAAATTGAAAGAGAACGCATACTTCAATTTTTGTGTGTTCTCAGCTAATCGGCTATATGTGCTCAAACACTGGAACTTTCATAAAATTAGGGTAATCATTACAGATTTCCTTTCATCGAAAGAAATTTTCAAATTTCAATTTAAATCAATTCACAGGTATGACTGTGCCACCTTTAGTGTTTTTCAAACGTATATGCTATCAGTGGTGAATATCACTCACAGTGTTGCTAATTCAAACATCACATATTCCCACCGAACTCCCAAGATTATTTTAGTTCAATCAGCAAATCATACCTCGTTACTGTGTTCTGCATTTCGCATAAATATAACGCAGGCTTTTTTAACAGGACAAAAGCGATTAATCCTGATGGAATCTTTACCGTAATCATAATCTGCTTCCATGAAGTAGATTCCAAGCGAAGAATTATGTACGAGGCTTAATTATTTGTCTTTTATCTTCATCAACAAACGTACCTGTCTTCTGAAAGTGATAATGCGTTCAAATAAAAAATGTTTTGTCAGACCGTTTGAGATATGCAAGGTGCAAATGACATTGAGGACACCAGAGTCAAAATTAAGTAGTTTTACTTTCCTTCTCCCAGAAGACTAACATCGTTTCTATTTTCATATCGTTCGACATGAACATCCTAGACAAGTTGAAACAATTTTCACATGTATTACAGCAAAGTGAACCTAAGACATTTCGTATTAATCGACTAAGTATAGACTTTCTCTAATATTTTCCGGCATTACGGTGTTTGAAATGCGAATCCCATGTATTACGTTTTCTCACTTCATAATATTATTCGGACTTCAAATTGTCTAACTTGACACAATCAACATGCAGTCATTTAACAGTATTTGAACTTACTTCTCAGTCTGGTAGTTAGCAATATTTTTTTGATGGCCAAAAATTAGTTTCACTAGAGTAGATTTTTATGGAAATGAATCAAACATTTATCAGCATTCATTGTTTCATTTTCTCTAATCATCATCTTGAAGTTCAATTTCTCTTACATTGCCTATTCCCACTCTAGATACATAAATCGGTTTCTTTACTGAGAAAATTGTCCTGTAGATGAATGTTTCGTGATAACTAACAGTTGATATTTAGGTATTGGTTTGTAGGGATTTCATGGTTTCAGGATTTCATCATGAGCTGACATTAGTTAGAGAACCATTGGAAAACCTGGGAGTACTGGACAGCTGTTTCCTCCTAGTTTGGGACTCTGCAGCAGTACGCACCCACCGGGATTCGAACCCAGCACCTTCCGGTTACAAGGCGAGCTCGTATACTATTAAGCTACTGGGACCCAATCCAATGGTCCTCGAATTCTAACTTCTGCCAATTCACGACATAGCGCGACCGCTAGCCAATGTCTTCGGCGAGTATTTGTCCTCACACCCGACCCGCTGCACCCTACTGGTCACGACTTACCACTGGAACCCAGGTAACTACTACCTGAATAGGGCCAGTCGCCAGTGAGCATCTCATTGGTATTTAGGTGTTGGTGGTGAATCCTGGTGGGTGCGTACTGCTGCAGAGTCCCAAACTAGGGAGAAACAGCTGTCCAGTACTCCCAGGTTTTCCAATGGTTCTCTAACTAATGTCAGCTCATGATGAAATCCTGAAACTAACAGTTGTAATCGAAATACAGTTGACGGGTTCAATGTATGCATGCTGAACCAAATTACTAAATGCTGAGTTATTTTGCAATCTTAAGAGTATAAACCTTATACCTGTGAATTCTTTAGGTTGATTTGCTATTCAACCGGATTGTAGAAATTATCCTACCGAAAAATGAAGCAGAAAAGCAGAACATTTTCTAAGTTATTTGTAGAACCGCTTCACTAGTAGGCTGATCTTCTTCTTCTATCTTTACCTTTAAAAGCAAACATGTGGCTTTTAGGCTGGGTTTAAACATATCTTTACACTGGAATTGACGTAAACTGACAGAATCGAATGGTTTTTTCTCGGGAATAAACGAATTCATCAATTTCAAGAACTGAGAAGAGGTACATTTTTGGCATACATTCTAATAAACAGTGTGAATTGTTTTTAAATATTAATTCCTGCTCTTACTGTGTCTTTAGGAAAACAAGTCTGAATGGAAAGAAATTTGTGAGAGTTTCCATAAGATATTTTGTGGTAAAATCAAAACTAATTTTAAAAAAATCTTTTGAAAACAGAAGAATTTTTATAGCAAATCTGATTCTCGTTTGTTTGTTAAATAATTGCATAGATAAATGAATACAATTCATTACTCACTGATTTTCTGTATTAGTGCGTCTATAATACAGGGCAATAATCAAAGGTTACACGAAAACTTTATCACACTTGGTGATTAGTCGTCAACTCAACGAGCTAGGGCCTGTTCATGTGTGACATATATCAAATTTATTGTTATTCATACATTAACACCGATTAGAGTAATAATTTTCACATCTGTGAACTGAAAAAAATTACCGGTGAAGTTACTTCCTGGTGAATTTCTTGCTGATATTAGAAATATTGTTATTGAGTCAGAAGAAAGGTGATTGAGTGCCAGTTTAACAAGTCTGAAGTGGGTGCGAAAGTGTACAAAAGGAATATATGGGAGTGATATTGGTGAATTAATTAATAAAGTTAAAGCAAACGAAAATTACAATTGTTCTAACTTGGTCTTAACCTATTCACTAGTCGTTTACTGTAAATTGTTTATTTTTATTTACTTTGCATTTACTGTAATGATTATTTCACTACAATCACTCCCATATATTCATTTTGTACACTTTCGCGCCCTGTTCACACTTGTTAAACTGGCACTCAACCACCTTTTTCTGACTCAATAACAATTTTTACTTCATCAAATTCCTATCCACTTTTTTCTTTTGTGCAGTTGAGTACTACTTAGTTTACAACTTTATTTTTTTGCTTTTGAAGCCACTTCTGAGTGATTATATATCAATTATGTCATCCGCTATTACTCGATAATAAACCACTATACATTTTTGGTAGATTTAAGTATGACTGTACAGCCTCTGAAGATGATTTCGTCGATAAAGAAAATTTCCTTCGTTGGATTTGTCTTTTATTTTCTTAGGTGTTTTTATACAAATCAAAAAAACATTTTAAAATATGATAGAAAAGTATTTTCTGTTGCTTACAAATATGGGACAAATCTTGAAGGAACAATATTTATGATCATATCCAGGGGAGTTAAGTAAATAAGTTTAATAAATATGTTTACCAAATGAAATGAGTATAATCTGTTAATAAAGATGAAGTATCGTCTTCACTTGTGATGACTATGGACTATGATCCTGCGTTTTACTATAGAGAGTTCGGAACCTTGTGAAGAGTTACTTGTTAACAAGTAGTTATTATTCTGCTGAGTTGAAGTGATAAGATCATGTATTTGCACGGTAGTTAGGTATGTCAACATCCAAAGTGCAGTAAATTCTGTAGATACGGAATCATTACCCCAGACAAAAAAGTATATTTCTGGATAGAAATCAGCTCTAAATGTGAAAATATTATAATTATAAAAGTTGAACTTTATACCAGTGAGGTGAAATACGAAGCGTACACGACATAATTAAATTCAACTTTAGAACTCTTCATCGCTGCAGTTCACAAGCAAATTAATTTGAGGGTGAATTGTGATAGGCTTCCCTGAGTATCACCTTAGCCTTGATTTTTATCAGCACGTTGTAAGTATAGTAACATTTCCCTTACAATTAAGACAAATGATTTCACACTTTTTGAGTTAAATTTATGTAGTAATTTCCTCATATACCTTGCTTCAGTTACTCAATCACAGGTTGTGCTACACATCAGGAAGTTTGCATGGATTTGCATGCAACAATACCCCACACGTGTATGAAAAGTGTTTCTGGCATTTAAGAGGAATCGATGTACAAATATTTCATGTCGAAATGGGATAAGATTTAGTCGGCCATAGTATACGTGATGCAATGTATATTCGTACACTAGTCGCCGGTGATTTGCAGTGAAAACGTATTTATCCTCAATGATGAAGCTGAAGCTTTTTGGAAGAATGTGCATTCAACCTGTCAATCAGTTATTCCCCTCTCTTAGTTATTGTTCTCTGAATTTCCAATCTTCTTAGATTTGTACTATTTGAGAAAAGTTAATCGTATGCATTGCTGAAGTGCTTGAGTTCCATTGACAAAGGAAACATTTAAGTTTGTTATTTGTTTTGGAGTCTGAAAAAAGTAATTTCAAATATTGAACGTGATGCAGTGATAAGGAAACTTCACAGCATATATTGTACTAGATTTCTTTTAAACGAATCATTTATGCGACTATTTCTGTCAGATGTCAGAAGATCTAACCCCCATGATGCATGTACTGACTCGAGTTTTGCACAAAACTGTAAAGAAGATATCATATTCAACAATGAAGGAAAGTTCCGATCTTCATATATTTATACTTACCCGGTAACATTATACCTGTATTTGAAGTAGCAAACAATAATTTATGCCTTATCCAATCACTTGCTTGTGTAAAATAAGAAAAGTATTTGGTGACTGTTGAAACGGCAGCAGTGGAGTAAGTCAGCACTTAAAGATTTCACTTGTTTGCTCAATACGTCATGCTTAATTATGTGATAATGCAGGTATTTGCTGTGATTTTTGCTGTGATACTATTTGCCTTTAAGTGAACAGTCCAGGTACAATACATATAAGACGACACACATCTATCGTTGTCTGCGTTGCAACGGTATCCAGTGTCACTACAGCTCATCTTAAATCATCTGCGTGAGATCAGAATGTCTTATTGTTGTTAACCAGCCGTGGCCAACAAGAAGAACAAAGTGATTCGTCCTGAAAACAATAGTATTCCGCTCAAATTTCTATCTTCTTGACATATCAGTGGATGAATACCGATTTTTTCATAACATTCTGTCTCGTAATTTTTAAATAGATGGAATGAAGAGTGAACCATCGCAAAACGTTCATGTTTCACAAAGATACCACTTCAATTTCTAGCAGTAGATTAGTCAAGAAGCTCGAGTTCAAAGTGTAACAACGATTCACTCATTATGAAATTGTTATTGCTAGCGCATTTTGAAAAGAAAATCTAGTTCATTCGGATATTTAACTCTTCCCTCTGAGTGGTATACAGAATATTGTAATTACTCGAATCGGTACAATTCATTGATCGAGCAGAAAGTGACATATTATAAAGTTAATGGGGAAGACAAGGCCGTAAGAAATTTGAAAAGTAGATACAAATCATAAAATAGTGGTTAAGGTCTGCTTATCAGGTATGACAGAGTGACACAGTCACACTTACTGCTATATGAAATGACTTTATCCAGTATGGGAATGTACTCCACCAGAGTGGCTAAATTATTCTCCTATATAGGGCACGATTCTGTACAGACAGCTAAATATATATATATATATATATGAACCTGCTCGCTGATTCTTTCTTAAAACGTTCACGCCGATTGATTAGATATAATGCTGAAAATTATCGAAGACGTCGCTAGTATACACTGCAAAATATATGCTTGTCTACATATGTTTATTATGAGAAACTAAGTTGTTTACTGTAACCATTGCGAACACTGTAACTTTCATAAGTTCAAATGAACAATGAATAAATACTGATTAGGATATTAAAGTAGATGTACTGACTTCCAGGTCACTGATGTCTTTCTAAAAGGAAAACAACCAGAATATTTCCATTGAAATTCTTACTAAAGATATTATTTATTGCATGGAGGATTTCATCATAAGTTGACAGTATTTAGAGAACCACTGGAAAACCTGGGAGTACTGGACAGCTGTTTCGTCCTAGTTTGGGACTTTGCAGCAGTACGCACGCACCGCTAGAGTTCAAAATCAGGTCCTTCTGGATACAAGGTGAGCTCGTAGACCATTGAGCCACTGGGACCCGATCCATTGGCCATCCCATGAATTCTAACTTCAGCCAATCCACGACACAGCTGCTCCATCTTCGACCTACCGTGACCAGTAACTCATCGAAGAAGACATTGCGGAATAATCGAGCTATGTCGTGAATTTGCAGAAGTTAGAATTCAAGAACCATTGGATCGGGTCCCAGTGGCTTGCCTTGTAACCAGAATGTTCTGGGTTCGAACCCTGGTGGGTGGGTGCGTCCTGATGAAGGGTTTCATACCAGGACGAAATATCTGTCCAGTACACCTGGGTTTATTCTATATTATCATTTGGTGCGTACTGCTAATGATTCGCGAACTAGGATGAAACAGCAGCTGTTCAGTACTCCCTAGTTTTCAGTGGTTCTCTAGCTGATATCAATCCGCGATCAACTCGTAAAAACAAAAGTAACCATTAAAAAACAAACTATAGAAAACGATGATATCACAACCATGTAGAAAACTTACAGATTTAGAAGAGGGATTGTTCTTATGATCAGTTAAGCATGAAGTGCAAAGTAAAAGGGTACTAGAATTAGGCTTTATAATAAGTTTGATGGGAAATAGTTAAACCTGTAAACCGCACCAATTGGAATAGCAAAAAAGTGATTCCATACATTTTATAAGAGAAACGATTACAAAAATCGATTCGAATGACTTGGAAACAAGTTTTATTAGAAAATACATCTCTCTTTCATCTGTTAGCGAAATGCTGAAAAGTTTCTATTGTGTATGATTTTTATTGTTCGGAATAGTGTTTAATATTACATATGCGTGTATATATTAATACTCTATGCATATATTGATCAATTGATTTTTGTTGAAAATGAACTCTGTGCAGGTATGCTGAAATTGTTTTGTAAATAAACTTATTAATGCCTTTGCCCTGTAAGCAGTTGACGGGAAGGAACGAAATAAAAGATGGTACCACTTTATTCTGCTAAAACTGCAGTTCTTGTTGTGTTCAAATTCACACGATGTCATAAGACTTTGTTATATCCATAAACCTAAGGGCATATAACCGACCAGTTGATATAATCTATTATTCGGAAGAGTTATCAAGCTTTCATGTATGATACAAGATAAACAACAATTGCTCACGCAATATCTAGGTATCTGGATTGAAAATCAGGAAAGCAATGTTTTTTAATGTAATAGTAACACTAACTATTTACAAGATCGCTAATAAATAATGAGCAAATTTGAGCAACCCAAATCCACGTTTATTTCTTTGATACTAAATAATGATACTGGAAAATATTCATATTCTTCAGTTATTCACTGACCTGGTTATGTTCTGTCCATATTTACTAAAAATGAGATAGTAATAAAACAATTAGATAAAAATGAGAAAATTTAAGCGATTCATTTAGAAATTTTCAATTCTTTGATTTCAAACTAAACCTTCTTCAGTCTTCATTCAATATGATTATGTTCAGGTGAAGCTACAGACAACAGAGGTGATAATGATTATTTGGCCAACAGTGACAGCAACAACAAGAGTCAACAAACAGCATAAATGGGTGAAATCTGAAAGAAGCAACCACCTTTATCCACTGACCTGGGAAGCATCGTTTCATTTACATGTGGAACTGATGAGGGTATCAAAGCAAGTTTCGGGAAAGCAAGACAAGTTTTCGATACTATCAAGTTTGTGTGGATATCAACAGCACCCAGCATGAAAAATAACATTGGGATTTTCAACTCCAACGTGAAGACAGTGCTACTATACACATCAATGACTTGGCGCTGCTTCATGAAGGGTTGTTCGATCAAACTGCAGACTTTCATCAACAGCTGTCTTCGATCAGTACTACTCAAGATCAGATTGCTGGCCAGAAATTATCAGCAACAGTGAGGGATCTCTGGGAGCAAACCAACCCAGCAGGAACCAATTGTGCAAGAAATAAGCAGGAAGAAATGAAGGTGGATGGGTCATACTCTGAGAAAAGCATCAAGTGACATGACACTCCAGGCTAAAGCTAGAGTGAAATCCGATTGGGAAGCAGCGAGTTAGTCGTCAGTGCGATGGTAAAATGGAGTAGGTGATGCAAACAAGAAATCAAAGCATGTCTGCAGACATGGAGCCAGGTGAAAAGGTTGGAGGAGAACCGAACACAATGGAGACGTGTGACTGTAGCCCTGTGTTTCTCTAAGAACTTAAGGAGACAATGATATAAATAATAAGGACTATGAGTAATAGACTGTGTTCAAAACATCGTCGTTCAGTAAATAATTATAATGCTGTTTCACTGTGTGATATATCTATTAAACAAATTGGTATGGAAGCATATTCCAACCATATTTACAGTTCTAACTTAACTGATTACCTGTGTGTATGAATCCGTAACCACTGAAAAAGGAAGGTGAATAAATATTAACATAGCTGGTAAAGTTGTACAATAACGAATGCATTTTTTTCAAGTAAACAGCTAGCTTATTATAAAATAAGTGCAGTGTGCTTTATGTGTTGACATGAGCTGTGTTCATTTTTTGTCATGAGAAGTGTTGAATTTATACAATAAACAGAGATATTAAGAAACACTCGAAGGAAACAACACCTTCAGGGTTTACATTATGTTTTAGAAAATATCACTTACAGATCTTTAGTCATGTTTCGCCTTGGGATTAGATTCCAGAAAGACAATTATTGACATATTCAGAATGTTATAAATACACTTGTTTCGCTGCAACCTATATTATATATAATAAGTAAAAGACATATGCATTATAGTGGCAGATATTTTAATGTCTTGCCCTGTGACAATAATTACATGGAACACGTAAGGATGTCTAATACCAAGCCGTAATTAGGAATCACTGGGAGTTGGTATGTGGGGATTATTTGGAAAAGGAATTACACAATACAAACTTAGTATAACTTCATTACCAAGTGTGACAATGAAGACTGAAACCTTCTTTTGGAAAAATAATTGTAATTGAGAGGATTAGTCAAGAAAATTGGACAAATTTTCAGAAACTTACAGACACAATAATTCCGAATATCTGAGAATAAATGTATCAAACATATATTTGTATACATATATATATGCATGAAGACGTTATCTACTACGTTATCTTTTATTTGTAGTGCATTCATCCTACTCTGACGAACAAGTTACACCTTCACGATTAACACACACATGTTACAGGGAACGACATTTTAAGTATTTCCGTTTGAATAACCTGACTGGAACTTGGATTGTTTCATTCACCATAATTTAAAGCCTAATATCAACAACAAAAAAATGCTCACCGAATCACCTTTGGAGTTTTTTCTCACTATTGAAACTGATATAGACTGGTAAGGTATGCGCCAACTGTTTCGCATTTTTTCAGTAGAATGCATCGAAACAAAGGCCTGAAGAAAATTATGACAGTCAAAACGTAGGATGAAACGGTCCTACTTTTGCCAGCCTTCAGTGAAATGAACAAGCAAGTGAACTCAAATCTCCTGAAGATCACAGAATCCGTTGGTGTCAGTTGATGAATCAACAAAGTAACCATAGTAACTTTATCTGCCAAGGAATGTTCACTCTAAATCTTTGCTTCAAAAACTTACCCTACAGTCAATTGAATTATTGATTTCATTTTCCTCTTACATAATGACATTACTACTCATAAGACGGTAGGCGTTGTATTTCTGACAACTGGATACACCACAAGAGCTTCTGCCCAATTCTGTTTGTTGAAGCATAGTGACCACATATTGTAGCTACACCTTTTCGAGGTATTCTAATTAAACTTGTGAAATATTAAATTCGTAAATGCAGCTGCAGCTCCTTTTTGCCAAAATGATGTTAGAAAAATACATACAAGCGGACAATATTGTTTTCAATTAGGTCTTCTTCAGGCTTTACTCTTATTTAGATAAACTTGTATATAAAAATTTTTACCAATGACGGTGATTTTGTGGATGAAATAATAATAATAAAATGTAACCGGAAGGTCCTGGGTTCGAATCCTAGTGGGTGCGTACTGCCGATGACCGCCCTAACTAGGATGAAGCAGATTTTGTCCAGTACTCCCTGGTTCTCAACGGTTCTCTAACTGATATCAATCCATGATCAACTCGTAAAAATAATGTGGTTTTCCAATGGTTCTCTAACTAATGTCAGCTCATGATGAAATCCTGAGACCAATCAAATCCCTACAAACCAACCCTTGAATGTGATAAATGTTTTGAACGAAATAAATAACGATGATTATAATCATAACAAAATATTGATAATAAGGTTTACGCAGGTGATAAGAATAACAAAGATAGTATATGTATATATGTAGACAATCCAGTAAATAAATAAATTAGGTCAAATCTTAAAAGGTGAAATGGAACGATCATCAAAGTTTAAATAAATATCATAAAAGTACGAAAGAGATGGAAGATAGGAAAGGGTTGGAGGGTTTTGAATAGAATTCACCTAGGCAAGCAAGGGAGAGACAAAGGTAGAACAAACTTCTTTGTATACAAAGACTAGGATTGTTCTCTCGAATTCCATAGCTTCAGCTAAGTGTAAAAGACAGGTTCTGATTCCATTTGAAAGACTCGATGGAATGGGATAAATTACTTTGAAGGCACTATTTTTGTCCACTTGGTGTTGGTGTTAATAACACTTGGATCCATGCTATCGCAAATAGATGCCCAGCTATCCTATTCAGTATGGTCATTCAGCATCTAATTCAAAATAATTCCATGAAATAGAAACTGTCACCTTAACTTTAAAAGTATTAAAAGCATCTCGTCAAATCTTGTGATCATCGGGAGATTCGTGATTTGAAGAATTTGGTTGTTGTGAAGCTGCACAGCCGGTGAAACCAAGCCATTCATACACAAACTTTAGAAGGCGTTTGCAAAAAATAAATCGCAGGCAAACAAAGTGCGTTTTCACACAGTATATTGAGCAATTCAGATTTCGAATTCCACATTGCAGTGTGTTGTTTGCAGCACTATATATATTGTCATTATGCATCCTGAAATATATATGAAATGACATTAGATTATCAAATAAATATAATGGCAGGTATTCTTACATAACATCCACAGATTTCTTCCTAAAGTAAAAGTTAGTATATTCTAAGATGTAAATGTGTTAACTGAATGGCAAAAATAAACGATCGCCGAAATATTTGCTAGAGATCTGTGACTCTTCTTTCAGTTGAATTAGTCTTCTCGATATTCCAGAAGTGAACTAAAGTATGAATACACTTTTTGCTTTAAGCATAACGATTTAGTGTACGAATATTTAAACCAGTTAAACGACACTTCGCACAATGACTCCATTGTAGTCGTCATACGTGTTAGTATGTGTATTAAACGAAAATAAACTTTGCAGAAAATATAAAAACAGAATGACTTACATATGATCTTCCACAACTCTACAAAACATTATCGTATGCATCATCTGCACATCGTCTATGCAATTAGCTTAATTTTAGTAGGCAGTGTGAAAAGTCCTACCAAAGATGCCTTCAAAGGAATTAAATGCATATCCACGACCTCATTCTCAAAATGCTAATGTATCGTTGAAATAGATGACAGGAGCTTAGATGGATATTTTTGTTCATCTCCAGTGGCAAATATCAATAACTGAATCTTCATTACCTGAGAAACGAATTCAGTTTTACTTTGTTCCCGAAGTCTTCACAGATGATTTCGGGTTTTCGGTTGTACTTAGGCATTCTGGTTCAATAAAGATGATTTATGAATGTCGTAGGCGAACTATTTTAACAAGCGCTTTGATCTTCATCCTTGTGATGAAGTAACTTCTAAAGCATATCGAACAGTTAGATAGCGTTGATTAATACATTGGAAAAGTCAAACAATGTGCAGAAAATATTAAAAATGACACTGACATACATGCCACACCTATGCAGAAACGTCGCCGGGAAGCAACACAGAAAACAGATATACCGCAAATGTTAGTAAATGCAAACGTGTAAAGTTGAAGTGAGATAAACTACTTGGTGCCAAATGAATACGAAGACATCATCGTGTGATAAAACGTCGCTGGAATTCATTTAAATGTTGCCATTTATGTAAGTACTATTTAAATTGTATATTCGTCACTGAAGAATAGTCTTGCTTTAATTATTTCGGACATCAATGAACGTAACTCTATGAATATCTTGATGTGACCCGAAGTTACGGCGAATTCACAATTTTCTGTGACCAGTTGAGATATGTTTTCGGTTGTTTCATCAGTATACTGCATGGAGGATTTCATCATGAGCTGATATGTGTTAGCGAACCACTGGAGAACCTGGGAGTACTGGACAGCTGATTCGTCCTAGTTCGAGACTATTCATCAGTTCGCACTCACCGACGGGGTTCGAACCCAAGATCCCCTTGTTACAAGGCGAGCTCGTGGACCATTGAGCCGCTAGGACTCAATCCAATGAGTTCTAACTTCTTCCATTTCACGACATAGCACGACCATTTCGCAATGTCTTCTTCGGTGAGTTACGGACTCATCTTCGACTTGCTGTACCCTACTGGTCATAGGTTCTCACTCGAACCCCGAATTAAATGCCTGAATAAGGCCAGTCGCTAGTGGCCATCAGAATTATTTTCAATTTACGCTTGTGTTCACATCAAATTTCTAAATACTTCTATCACTCCTCAATATTTTACTCTAACAGCATTCGTAAAACTATAAAATAGTATTTACATTGAGGAGACCCTTTGTGAAACACGGAATAGCACAATGTATTCAAATGTCATTCAAATATTTCTACAAAGTGAGTGAAAACATCGGAATGTAAAACGTTTTTAAATAAAAATTACGAACTAACAATTTTTGTAAGATGTTCAACCTAATATTAATGTAAATGTTGAAAAGAACAATGTTATACCTTGAATTTTTTATTATCGCCGTAAAAATTGCACAACCTAGTGTTGTATAAATATTCCCTCTTTAGAATCATTCCAGTCTTATACACACACGGTTTGTACACCTAACGGATTGTATGAAAAGTGACATTACAGAGTGACTAATGAGCTTCATATCAAGAAATATTATCTTAATGTTGACATGTATCCCAGAATCATCTTCTTCCCTAAGGCTGATTTTTGTGTGTAGTAAACAAAGGTACAGATGAAATATATCTCCGTTCAAGTCGACGTGCCTTTCTTTCCTCGGAACAGTCTGCTATAAAGTCTGTGTAGCACATAAAGAGATATAGAAATATTGTCTTCGCATTAACAAAAGATCCAGACATCAGATGAATGTAATACAGATATCTGGGAAAATAAAGCTTGAAGTCAATTCTCCTATATAACTTTGTTGTGATCACACCCTTGTTTAAAGTTTATTGATGTATTATGTTGAGATCAGTGATATATTTATTCCATTTTTCATCAGTCTTATCGTATTTTATAACAGGAAGGAAATTTGATCGTGGAGGCGAAACCTAGATAAGATCATTGTCAATGGAGTTGAAGATTGAACGATCAATTCTTGGTTGTTTGCTCAAAACCAACTTCCCCAATTTTCGCGGAGGCATCAATACGACAGTCATCGTCTCATCGGTCGCTGTTCAGAAAGAAGAGTAAAACATCGTCAGAAACCTTAGTCATACTTGATTTATATGTTGGTGTAACAATATAGAATACTCAAGTCAACAATTGGTGTTTTTGGTTTTTTCGTCCGTTATTACTAAGCGTTTCTGAGAAACTTCAAGGAACAGCGTGAGCCCGAGCGTAGCAAGAGCTGGGCATTAACGGTTTACGATACATGACTGACAGTTTCTGACGACAGAAACAGATTCTGGTGAATTCAAACAGTTGGTGAAAGTTCGGATAGTCACCGTTCATTTTCCTGGTGCCGGTCAAGTCCTCTTTGAACAAGCAATATCTGGAACGTTTTTGGAATTTGCTCAAGTTCAACAATGCCTGGGTCAAAGAAGGGACAGAGCGTCTTGGATGCAAACAGGAAAGTAAGTCATGTTGACTTGTCTGTTAATTGTAACGATGTGTCTGACGTTAAGCATGACATGGTTGATGTTACTGTTTCGCCGTTCAGGGATAATAGGAACATCAAACTCCCTAAATTAGAACCACGGTGTTTTGATGGAAACCCAGCTGATTATTTACAATTTGTAAAGGAGTTTGAGATCATGCTGAATAGTTTTCTATTAAATGATGAATTGAAGTTAATGTATTTGATGAGATATTGCACTGGAGATGCTGCAAGAGCTATACAGTGCTGTAAGTTTATGAAGCCAAAAGAGGGCTACTACGAGGCTATGAGCATATTACGTCAAAGGATTGGAAGACCTTCGATGATTGTAAGGAACGTATACGAAGCTGTCAAAGGTAATGGCAGCCAACTTCGAGATGACTCCAAGGCACTTACTGAGTTTTTAGATAATCTTATGACTTATAAGAATACCTTGATTTCTATGAATTGCATTAGTGACCTCAACTCGGGTTTTATACCAGAAGTAATAGCAAGACGCCTACCTACTCGACTGCAAAGGAAGTGGGTGAAGATAAGCTCCCGTATGGGGGATGAGGGTATCGAGCCAAAATTTGATGATATCCTGAAACTAGTAAAAGATAGTGTCAATCAATCTATGAGCAAGTTTGCCAG